TGGCCACCTCCCCTCCGTCTGACCCCGCCTGCCCCTCGTCCTGACTCTGGCCCCGCCCCCCGCAGCTTCATGTGGTCCTTTGAGAAGATCCACCGGAGCCTCGCGCACGTGTTCCAGGGGGAGCTGGTCTCCAGCTTCGACGAGGAGTTCCGCATTCTCTTTGCACAGTCTGAGCCGCTGGTGCCTTCGGCCGGGGCGCTGGCCCGCATGGACGCGTATGCCCTGGCTCCATACTCCGGGGCTGGGCCCCTCGTGAGCGGCCAGATGACCGGGGTGCCAACTCCTTTCTCCTTCCCCAAACGAGCGCACTTCTTGTTTCAGCCGCCTCGGGAAGAGGGCCTGGGGTTCCCCTCTTTCCTCGACCCCGACCGCCACTTCCTGTCGGCCTTCCGCCGAGAGGAACCACGAATGCCAGGAGGACCCCTGGAGCCACACGCAGGGCTGCGGCCACTGTCGCGACGGCTGGACGCCGAGGCTGGACCAGGTGGGGAGCTTGCGGGCCCGCGGGGCTTCTTTCAGGCGCGGCACCTAGAGATGGACGCCTTCAAGCGGCACAGCTACGCGGCAGTTGATGGCCCCGGCGCCGTGGAGAACTTCACGGCTGCGCGGCAGGTGTCACGGCAGACGTTCCTCAGCCACGGAGACGACTTCCGCTTCCAGACCAGCCACTTCCACCGTGACCAGCTCTACCAGCAGCATTACCAGTGGGACCCACAGCTCGCGCCCACGCGCCCGCAGGGCCTGTTTGAGAAGCTGCGCGCTGGGCGCCCAGGCTTCGCTGACCCCGACGACTTCGCCTTGGGCACCGGGCCACGCTTCCCTGAGCTTGGCCCGGACGGACACCAGCGGCTGGACTACGTGCCGTCCAGCGCATCACGCGAAGTGCGCCACGGCTCGGACCCAGCCTTGGGGCCTGGGCCCCATGGCCTGGAACCTGGAGGAGCCCCACGCCCCAACCTGGGCCAGCGCTTCTCGTGTCAGGCAGCAGCAAGGCTGGGCCCTGAAACCGGCCCCGAGGCGGAACCCGAGCGCAGGCCTGGGCCCGAGGGGCGGGCAGGGCTGCGCCATTGGCGCCTCGCCTCCTACCTGAGCGGTTGCCATGGCGAGGAGGCCAGTGAAGAGGGCCTGCCGGCACCCATGGAGACCGAGACCTACGAAGACGACGTGCTGGTTCCTGGGGGCCGTGCGGCCGCAGCGGACTTGCTTCCCTCCACCTTTCGTGCATCTGCACCCTTCCTGGCCAAGGGCCCGGCGCCGGGCTCCGGCAGCGGTGGCGGCGATGGCCCCGAGCGCGAGGCCCTGGAGGAGACAGGCCTGGCCAAACAGGACTCTTTCCGCTCACGCCTGAACCCGCTGATCCAGCGCAGCTCGCGGCTGCGCTCATCACTCATCTTCGCGTCGCAGGCTGAGGGTGCGGGCGGCGCCACTGCCGCCGCCACCGAGAAGGTGCAGCTGCTGCACAAGGAGCAGGCGGTCAGCGAGATGCTGGGCCCTGGCGGCGAGGCCGTGCGCTCTGCCGCCTCCACCAAGGTGGCTGAGCTCCTGGAGAAGTACAAGGGCCCAGCTCGTGATCCTGGCGCTACAGGGGCCGCAGTCGTGGGGGCCAACCACAGCAAGGCTGTGGTGTCCCAGACGTGGCGGGAGGAGGTGGCAGCGCCAGGCGGTGTGGGGAGCGAGCGCCGCAGTCTCGAGAGCTGCCTGCTCGACCTGCGCGACTCCTTGGCACAGCAGCTGCACCAGGAGGCCGAGAGGCAGCCGGGAGCCGCCACGCTCACTGCCACCCAGCTGCTCGACACACTGGGCCGGAGCGGGGCTGACAGGCTGCCCTCTCGCTTTCTCTCCGCGCAGGGCCGCTCCACCTCCCCACAAGGGCGGAGCAGCCCCCCTGTGGAGGCGCCCCACTCAGAGCCAAAAGGGAGCCCCACCTCAGCCTACCCCGAGCATAAGGAGAGCCCCACGCCTGGGTTTCCTGCTCGCCGAGGCAGCCCAACTGCAGGATTTACTGAGCGGAAGGGGAGCCCCACCTCGGCCTATCCCGAGCGCAGGGGCAGCCCGGTGCCCCCCATGCCGGAGCGCAGGGGCAGCCCGGTGCCCCCCGTGCCCGAGCGCAGGAGCAGCCTTACCCTTACCTTCTCTGGAGAGTCTCCGAAGGCTGGGCCGGTGGAGGAGGCGACTGGCGGCGCCATGGAGGTCCTGCGCAAGGGGTCCCTGCGCCTCCGGCAGCTGTTAAGTCCCAAGGGTGAGCGGCGTGCAGAGGATGAGGGCGGCTTCCCAGCGCCGCAGGAGAACGGGCAGCCTGAAAGCCCCCTGCGGCGACCATCGCTGAACCGGGGTGACAGCACAGAAGCTGCCACTGGAGATGAGCGGGGCCCACGGGCGCGCATGACCTCGGCCACGGCCAACGCCTTGTACAGCAGCAACCTGCGAGATGACACGAAAGCCATTCTGGAGCAGATCAGCGCTCACGGCCAGAAGCACCGCGCCGCCCCCGTCCCGGGCCCCAGTAGCCCTGAGCTAGGCCGCTCATCATCTGCTGGAGGCCTGGCCCCCGATATGTCCGACAAGGACAAATGTTCGGCCATCTTCCGCTCGGACAGTCTGGGGACACAGGGCCGGCTGAGCCGTACGCTGCCGGCCAGCGGAGAGGAGCGCGACCGGCTGCTGCGCCGCATGGAGAGCATGCGCAAGGAGAAGCGGGTGTACAGCCGCTTCGAGGTCTTCTGCAAAAGAGAGGAGGCTGGCGGCCCCGGAGCGGGGGAGGGCCCGGCAGAGGAGGACACCAGGGACAGCAAGGTGGGCAAGTTTATGCCCAAGATCCTGGGCACGTTCAAAAGCAAGAAGTGAGCCTCCCGCCCTCGGGACCAGGCCGGGGTGCCCGCGTCACCGCCACCCACCAGGTGGAGCACTTGGCCCACACGCCACAGCAGTTTGGAACTGGCTAGGCGTGGCCAGAGCTCAGCTCCCCTTGGGCTCACCCCTTTGTTGCTGCAGCCCCTCACTGCCTCATGCCTTAGTCCCCCAACTCGCATCTCAGCACCTCAGTCTCTGGGCCTCCTCCCCACTGTGCCTTCATACACATCTGCTTCTACCGTCTCTCTGGGCTTCAGGTCCCTTCTGGCCTTCATTCACCTCAGGGACCCATCTCTTTGTGCCTCAGTCCCCTGCTCTCTTGGGGCCTCATGTCTCAGGGTTTCTGTGCCTCAGGGTCCCCTCTGCTCAGGGCCTCTGGGGCTGCACGGTCTCTGCTGTCCCCCCGCAGCCCCTCTCCGGGCCTCCCACCTCTTCAGGGCCGGCTCGCTCCAGCTCCATCTCAGGTGGCTCCCTTCCTGTCCATCTCCCGACACCTTTCTTGGTGGCCCATTCACTGTGGGGAGGGGCAGAGGACCACAGAGGGGCCGCCCTGCCCCCGAGAACTGATGCAGATCCGGCTGCTCCCTGGGGGGGAGTGGGAGCACCAGTCTTCTGTGATGGATGGCGGGCGACCCCAGCCTGGCCAAGGGGCCCCACAGGCCCTGCAGCCGTGGTTGTGGAGTGCTTGTACTTGAACAGGTGAGGGCAGAGGACGCAGGGCAGTGGCGCCTGAGCCCCACCGCCCTGGCCCCATGAGCTGGGTGTGGTCCTCGCTCTGCAGGGCCCAGCTGCACCGTCTTGCATCGTTTCCTCTTTGTCCCCAACCCGCGAGCTCTGTCCAGGCTTCCCTGCTCACCTTTCCTGTGTCTTTCTCACCTCTAGAGAGTAACTTTGATTCGGAATGACACCCTTTGGCACCAAATGCTTCAAAGCACCCCCTCCCCCTGCCCTGTAGGTGCTAACATTGTGAAATTGGCATTTCTGCTATTTCTTTTCAGATAGGTTTTTGTTTTTGTTTTTTTAGTCGAAGAAATCGCGACTACTCAGAATGGGAAAGGAATTCAGAAACAAAGCCACTGAGCCAAGGCAGCAGCTCTGACTCAGGAGGCACAGTCTGGTTACCAGAGCCCCACCCAAGTAGGGGTGACAGCAGGGACTTTGATTCAGGTAGAAAAAAGGTCGTGGGGAGCCAGGTCAGCTGGGGTGTTTCCTGGCCTTGATGTGCTCGCTGACAAGTGTGTTTCTGCCTAGCCTGGTGCTGCTCAAAGCAGGCCAGTCCAGGCCTAGGGCTCAGGGGGAGTCTTCTCAGGGAGTGGAGCATCTGGTCACCAGAAGCCAGCAGCTGGGGGCCTGAGTGTGGCCCTTGGAGCCTCCTGTCTGCATCCCCCATGTGCCGAGCAAGATAGCTCCTCATGCGACTCTGCACACTTTGGTGTGAACAATAAAACACGAGCACAAAATATTTCAACACGTTCCCAAATATAGATAATCACCCAGCTACGCACTGAAACCTTTAGCTTTGTGAACTTCTCAGATTTTCCTCTGGACACCACTGTCCACACCGGACAGGAGCAGCAAAGACCCCTCTCCACCTAGACTGCCAACACCTCTACCAGAATCTTCTAACCCAACACAGACTCCTTCCTAGGGTGGCCCCATTTCATAACCACACTCTACCAGCTGCTCTCCTCATGCCACCCAGCCTGCTGTGGGGGCACACCCCACAGGCACTTCCCAGGGGGCCCCTAGTCCTCAAGGTCAGCCGCCACTTCCCAGGATCACTTGGCAGCTCCCATCCACCTGGGTCCTCCCCTGCCCTTGGATGCCAAGTGCCCAGGCCTCCCGTTGCAGGCGCAGGGCTGGACTTCCCTGATGCCTTCTGTCTAGCGGCATTCACCCCATGTCCCCTTGTCCATCACCTCGGGGCTATGCCTAAGGCTCCAGAAACTCAACAAGCTGCCCGTCTTATGACTGGCTCATCTCCGAGCAGAAAGAGGCCCTGGGCCTGGGCCCCCTCTTTCCTTGACCTCCACCCCATTGCCTGTTCCCCACGCTGGCAGCAGCCCGTACAGGAGAGCTGCGTGCCCTGCAGCTAGTAGGCCGCCCCCCACCCCCATAAGGCAACCAGGACCCTTAGGCTGCGAACTCCTCCCTATGCTCTGGCCCTGCCCAGCGTCAGGTGCAGTGCAGACCCAGCATGTGTGGTCTCCATGTACTCCTTGCATCTCCTCGGCCCCCACACTGCTGGAGGGAAAAGGCTGGACGCTGGGCAGACAGGAGCCTCAGGGTGACAGCAGACAGTTTTCTGGACATGGTCCTGGGACCTGGGTGGGCTCCAAGTCCCTCACCGAGGATGAAAGATGGGCACAACAGGTGGGCTGGTGACAGAGGAGACTTTATTGGAGGAAGTGGTTGGGGCTGGGGTGGGTATTCATTTCCCCCAGAAAAGACCGAACAAGCTTCCTGGGTCTCAAAGTGACCCATCAAGTGGAAGAGGAGCGGAGAGCTCTGGGTACCGGGGGCAAATCCGCAGGCCGAGCGGAGGGGCGCGGGGCCGAGGGCGGTGCCGGGCGCGAGGGCGGGGCAGAAGGTGATGGCGCGGCTCAGGCGTGGGGCCCTGGGAGCAGGGGCGGGCGGCCCAGCGCCGAGCAGCAGACGGTGCCATAGGCTTGGGAGTAGCCTCCGAGCGCGGCCCTCGCGGCCCCCTGGGCCCCCTGCGAGGCCGAGGCGCCGAACATCCTGCGGCCCGGCCGGGGCTGCGGGGAACGCAGGAGAGGGGCCTGCGCGCGGTCGGAGGTCCTCGTCAGGGGCCTGGACAGGCCGAGCGGAGGGTCCGCCGGCGCGAGCACGAGGTCGGAGGGGTCGGGAAGCAGCGAAGGGAGGAGAGCGGAGGGCCGGAGCGGGCGGGCTCACCTGTCGCGCGCCGGCCGCCCTCACTCCACGGCCCGGGGCCTGGTCACTCCGGATCAGGGCCCGGATGGCCACCTGGGCGGCAGCCTGCGAGGTCAGGGAGGGCGCCGCCGCCACCCCCTCGCGGGGCGCCACCTGGGAAGGGGCGCATCGGAAGGTCACTGCGGCCTTCGGAAAAGGCACAGGGGAGGGATCCTCCTGGGCCCACTCTCTGAGGACCTACCCACGGAGGTGCCGAGGGCGACTCCGCCGCCGCCCCAGGGGATCTTCCTTCTCTCGCGGATCCTCCTGGCGGCGAAGGCTGCAGCAGGGGAGCCGAGTCCTGCCTGAGAACGTTCGGGGCTCCGCCGGGGGTGTCTGGGGGTAGGAAGGTCAGCCCGGGGTTAGGAGTCCCGCGCCGCGGGACGGTTGGTGGTCCCACCTGAAGGGGCGGGGCCCTCAGGGATCACGCACCATGCGCCGCGTCGTGACCGGGGCTATTCTGAGGCCTGTGTCCAGGGCTCTGCGCCGGCCTGCCCGAGGGCAGCTGCGGGGCGGCTCTGGCTTTGAGTGGGCGCTCTTGGGGCGGGGGGCCGCCTCCCAGGCCTTTCTGGCTCCGGACGAGGCTGTGGCCCCTGCGCTCCAGGATCATCTGCGGGAGGGAAGGGGAGGGGTATTGCGGGTCGCTGGGGCACGGGGAGGCCTCAAGGGGGCGGTCGTTGGAGGGGCGATGGGCGTCGCGGGCCGGAGCACCTGGTAGAGGAGGTCGCGATACTCGGCGGCCGTAAGCTGGACTCCTTCCTGCACCGGGAGCCGCACGTCCGCCGCCAGTGTCCACTCATGGGCCGGGCAGTAGAACCTGCGGGCAGCCCGCAGGCGAGTGCGGGAGAAGCCAGCCTCTCCGCCAGAGCTCAGGGCGGGTGCCCAGCCCCGACCCGGGCATGTGGGGCGCTGCAGCCTCTCCCCGCCTCACCTCTGCACGTAGGGGTGCTGCAGTGCCTGGGCTGCGCTAAGCCGCTTGTCGGGGGTGAACATCAGGAGTCGCCTGAGGAGGTCCAGGGCCTCCGGGGGTGTGTCCGGGGGCAGGAGGGCCGCCAGCGTCTGGCGAGGCCTGCAAGTGCCTGCAGGTCCTTTACTGTCCAGGTGGGGGCTCCTCCCCACACCCATATCTGTGGCCCAGGCTCAGCCCTGCACCCAGCCCCACTTTTAACTGTCTCCCCAACCCGCGTGTGCCCCTCAGGCAGCCTGAGAGGGTCGTGAGAACCCTTTGTGTCCCCTCCTGTGCATGCCCTCCACCCCGCTAAAGCTGCTTCTGGGGTTCCTCCCCCGGCTGAGCTGGGCCCACACGGGGGACTCCTTCTTAGTGTGACCATCAGCAGAGCAGGCCAGAGTCTGGGCTGCCACAGACTGGTCAGCAAGGTTACAGGAACAGCTCTGGCGCCCTCTTCCCACACACCTGCACTCACCTGGTCCCCAGGTGGTGCCGAATCCAGGCACTGTAGCCTGAGCCAAGAGCGAGGAGGTCTGCGGGGTGAGTGGCAGAAGGTGCTGTGATCAGGAGGGCCTGGTCTGGTGGGGCAGCTCAGGGAGGTCCCGGGCCAGCCGGCTCTTCTGGCCCCATGGAATGGCCTACTCTCTCCCGGGCTGGGGCTGCTTGGCAGGGCTCAAACCCCCAACACCTGGACATGTGCAGCCACTCACGTGCCGGCCCTCATGCACCCTCACACCCTCGACATGCAAACACACGCCTCCACCCACAGAGGACCCCCTGGTCCCCTCCCCCTGGGACAGCAGGTCATGGGCCAGGAACCAGGCTCCGCCTCCTGGCTCTCCCCTCTCTCTTGCCCCACCTGCCCTAAGGAAAAAGGGAGGGCCCGCGGCCACAACCCCACCACTGCCCTCCACCTCTGCCCTCAACCTCCCTGCCGCCATTCGGAGGGCGAGAGCTCCCGTGCTGACCCGGCAGACCCTTCGTGGGCACTGCTCGACCCTCATGGAGCCCATGGCCGGACTCTCCCCGGCCTGCAGACTCTGTGCAGTGGCTCCTTGACTTGCCGGCAGGGCCCGCCTTCCCAGTCACGCCGAGGCCTCTGACCCCTCCTCCCACCCTGTTCCCTTCCAGCCCGCACGCCCTCAGGCTCCCACTCCCGCACGAGCTCACCCTCCTCGGAGGGGGGCGGGACGGCATCCAGGACCAGCTCCAGCTGGTGGAGAGTGGACGTGCCGGGAAACAGAGGCCTCCCCCGCAGCATCTCGCCCAGAATGCAGCCCAGGCTCCACATGTCCACCCCTGGGGTGTACCTGGGGCAGGTGTGCGGGAGGCGGAGGGGATGGGAGGAGTGCCATTCAGGGCATGGGGCCTAGGGTTCTGGGAGGGGTCAGGCGAGGGCCCTGGCTGGGTGAGAGGGCACGGGGGTGCTGCATGAGGAGGGGCGTAGGGGTCCCTGTTACCAGCTGGAGGACAGCAGCACCTCTGGAGCCCGGTACCAGCGTGTGGCCACGTACTCCGTCAGGGCCTGGCCCTCGGGCCCTTCGCGGGGGCCACAGAGACAGCGGGCCAGGCCAAAGTCACAGAGCTTCACCTGGCAGCTGGCATCCAGGAGAACGTTGGATGGCTGGGGAGAGGACATGGGCTGGAGGATGCAGGACGTTCGTGCACACGGGGGCGTGGGGAGTGGGAGGAGCGTGGGCGGCACCTTCTGGTCCCGGTGGATGACGCGTCCAGAGTGGATGAAGCTGGTGGCCTGCAGCAGCTGGTAGAAGATGTAGCGCTTGTGGACGTCCCCCAGCAGTCTGCCCTTGCGGATCACGGCGTCCAGGTCAGTGTCTGCGGGCGTGCAGGTCAGTGGGGGGCTCGGGGAGAGCCGGCAGCCTCGTGTGGGCGCCTCGGCCTGCCCATTGTCTTTGTCAGCACAGCAAGAAGTTTGTGGAATGTTTTTAATACTTTACTCCATGCCTTCGTTTTATCAAATGAGTAGAAATGGGTCGCCCAATGGCGCATACTTGCCAGCTGTTTGTCCTTGGGCATGGGGACGCTGCCCAAGGCGAGGGTGCTAGCCACTGCAGGGACCTGAGCAGCAGAGCGACATACAGAGGGAGCCAGGCCCTGGGGGGTCCTGGGCCAGGACGAGTTGTCACTCACCCATAGACTCAAACACCAGGTAAATGTCCTTGTCATTCTCTGCCTGGATCACATCCAGGAGCCGGATGATGTTGGGATGATCCCCAAATTCCTGGGGAGATAGCCAGAGTCTCTGGGGTCGAGGGGCTGGGAAACTGCACCTGGGGAAGCAGGTGGATGGCCTTGGCCACTCACCTGGAGCAGCATGATTTCCCGGAACGTTCTCTGGAACGAGACAGAAGCACAAGTGTGCGCGGAGCCAGCGGGAGCCACATCTTCAAAGGGCCCAAAAGGGCTGATGCTCGTCACCCACACATCCATGGGACCGTGGCGACCATTTCCCAGAGCAATGCCAGAAACCTGCTGTGGCTGGTCTCCAGGCACTAAGGCGGCAGGGGTGAGCCCACAGCCCTTACCTGGGCATCCATCTTATCCTTAAAGGCATCAAAGATTTTCTTGATGGCCACCACCTCTCCCGTTCTCCGATCCACCGCCTTCCACACAATGCCGTAGGCCTGAGGAGGAGGGCAGTCAGCCTCCCACCCCACCAGCTCCCCCACCAGACTGCCCTGCAGACAGGCTCCTTCTCTGGCTCTGGCTGCTGGAAGGGGCAGGGGGTGGCGAGGCCTGTGGTTCTGGGGGAAGCCCCTGCCTCTGCAGGCTGCTGAGGATGCCAGCATTTTTTGGAGGGTGACGGGCAGGAACCTGACAAGTTTCCTGGAAGTAGGCACTGTTAGGGCCCGTAACAGGAAACCGAGGCACCGAACGACTCGGTGGCTTGCTCGTCTAAATAAGCAATGTGTCAAAGAAGAAGTCACAAGGGAAATTAGAAACTATTTTGAACTGAAAGATAATGAAAGGCCACACCACCAGTCTCTGGGGGAGGCGAGACACCAGCCCAGGAGTCCCTGTGGAGTCGAAGGGAACAGAACCCCGACTCGCCCTGCCCATACCCTGCGGGGGGTCTGGTTCCACCGACGCCCGGGAGCTTCCCCGGGCTCACCCCCTTCCCGAGCCGCCGCTTGAGCAGGTATCGCTGGGCTACATGATCGTCCACCTCCGCGGCGCACATGCTGGCAGGAGGGGCGCCTGAAGGCTGTGGATGCCGCCTGGGCCGGAACTGTCGAAGCCGGTTGCCTTGGCAACCCGGGGCGGTGCTACCATGGCCGAGGTGGGGCGGGGGCTGTAGCCCAAGCCTCGCCCAATCCGGGGCCACCGTGGACCTCGTAGTCCCGCCCCCTCGGCGCTGCCCCAGACAGCTTCTGGCCTTCCGGCTGCGACCGCCAGACCCCGCCGACCCCGCTCCGGAGCAGGTTCCCTCCTCCGCCCCCGGCTCCAAGGAGCCCTCTGCAGCCTCCTGAACCCTGTCTGCCATCTCCAGACCTTTGCGCGTGCGGTACCCAGGCCTGAGACGCAGTTTTCACCCCCGGACTGGGCAGATGCTGGGGCGACGTGAGAAGCCTGGAGCAGATCCAGGCCGGGGCTTCGGGTCGAGTGTCTGGGAGACCAAAGCTGGAGGAGGTGAGCGTTCGCAAGACTGGCCGAGTGTGGCTGCTGTGCATCGAGGTCACGCGCCACAGCGAAAAGCAAGTGAGGAAGGGGAGTGACCGACCAGGGAGGGCGGTGGGAATGGGTGTTGTAACCCTGACTGTGTGCCCCGGATAACAAATTCTCAAGATACATAAAGCAAAACAGAAAGAAAAAATAAATCAGTTGGAGATTTTAACACTTTCAATAATTAGCAGAACAAGCAGAAAATAAAGGTGTAATGGAGTCCAGCGACGTTATTGTTCAACTTGACCTAGCTGACGTTTATAGAACAGTTCACCCGACGGCAAAATAGATATCCTTTTCAAATTATATGAAATATTCACCAAGAAAATCCATATTCTAAGTACCATAAAACAAAGATCAACAAATTTAAAAGGACCGAAATCACACAAATTATGTGTTCTGATCTCATAGAATGGAATTAGAAACAAATAACAACGATATTTGGAAAATCCCCCCCCCAAAGAAGATGTGGAGATTAAACGACAAAACACACGTCTAAATAAGCAATGTGTCAAAGAAGAAGTCACAAGGGAAATTAGAAACTATTTCGAACTAAAAGATAATGAAAATATAACATCTGAGAATTTATGGGATGCAGCCGAAGCAACACTGAGAGAGAAATTTGTAGTTCTAAGTGCTTATAGTGGAAAAGATGAAAGGTTTAACTGGTCACTTTAAGCTAGAAAAAGAAGAGAAAATTAAACCCAAAGTAGGTATAAAGAATGAAATAATAAAGAGTAGGAATCACTGAAATGGAAAGTGGATATGCAAGAGAGAAAACCAATAAAAGCTGGTTCTTTGAATAAACAGAATAAAATGTAGCCAGACTGATTAAAATTAAACGAGAGACAGCACATTCTTACCAAAACCTTCAAACACTGAAGAGAGAGTGAGCATTCATTACTAACAGCCTCACACCAGTACATTTGATAACGTAGATGAAGTGGCAAATGCATCGAATGAATGGGAGTGTTCCCCAAATTGAATCGATATTCAATATAAATGTAAATTGAGAATCTACATTTTGCCCATGAGGACAAAGGGAAGGAAGAGTAGAAGACACATCTATGGAAATAGAGGGAAGACTGATAACTAGCCGGACAGACTGAAGGACATGAGAGCCGGACGCACTGATGGAGGGTCTATGCCAGGAGCGGGGCTGTGGACAGGGCCCAGGCCAGCCCCTCCTTTCGCCACCTTCCCCCACGAACCCCAGGCCAGAGGAGGTCTTGACCCTGCCATTCTGCCACCAAGATATGGCCAATAAGCAGAATTATTTCACCATCGGTGAATTTCAGCAAAATTCTACAGAATGAACTTTATGACATTTAATTATTAAAGCAGTTTTTCAGTGGACATTTGATTCATCCACTGGCGGTTTTTATTTTTTTATTTTTAGTTTTTACTTTTTTGGCGTCCCTGGGTGGGCACAAACCATGGGTTGTTTTTAAATCCGTTATTACGTGTTTTATCTTCGGGCCATTATTTCTACCACTTCCGACTTTCTCCTTTCAAGTGTCCTTGAAGATACTACTCTCGTCAGGAAGATTTTATTTTCTCATCAATTGTTAGCCAATAATGAATTTCGTCGTTTGCAGGGATACCCCTTAGCTTTGCTCTGGTGAGTGTATTATTGACTTGGGGGATTTACTGCACACTGGATAAAAAGTGGACCGTGTGTTTAATTTTTAGGCGACCCCTGAGGAAATCATGCAGTTTGGGGTGGCCTTGTCCAGAAGACCTGGTGTCAGGGAAGACGTGTGACAGACCACATCCCCCAGGTTGGAACGACTTGGCTGCAACTTCCTGCTTCGACCATCACCAGCCTCCTTGTAACCTAGAAGACCAAACTCACACTGCCCCCACCTCCCTCGGGGTGGACTGTGCCAGTCCAGGTGCATGCGCCCCGCCCCTCTGCTGTGTCCCAGTCCCTGTGTGTGGGCCCACCCCCGGTCCTGTCCCTCAGGGTCAAAATCTAGGTAGATATCCTAGCTCTTTTTAAGTTTTAAGTCGTCTCTGCCTATCGAGTCCCTCACCTCAGAACAAAAATTAAAAGGCCAAGGTTGAGCCAGACATTCATGCGACAGCTGTGTGTGGCACAGGAACCCAGGAAAGGTAGGGGCGGTGTGGCCTGGGTAGGCACAGGGTCTGACTGCGAAGGACCAGACCGTGGTGGGAGCAGGCCTGAACCTTGCGCAGGCTCAGTTTCGCAGTCTGTCCAACGGCCGCAGTGGTCCCAGGTGGGCCCTGAGGGTGGCGAGGCGTCGCGTGGGGGCAGAAACGCTGGTATGTGAGTGTCCGGCCCTGGAGAGTGACTAGAGGGAAATAGCCGGAGCGGGCTCGCTGGGGCCCCCACCCGCAGGCTCACCGTCCTTGCCGCCTGATTCTACTCCGTCTTTCCCGGATTTTCTGTAAGAAGCCGGGCCCCCATGTCTTATTAAAAGCCCATATCACTTAAGGTCAGCATTCAGATGCTGCTTTAGGAGTTTATGAGCAACGTTTCTTTAATGTTAAAACAAACGAAGGTTCTGCATGGTCTTAGCGTTTGTCATTTTATCTATAAAATACATTTTTACCAGGAGGAAAATGCCTCAGTTGCGTTCCTAATTTTTAGAGGCTCTGCCACACCTTCCGTGCAGATAGACGTAGCTAACTAGGGCACGTCCAGCCCATGAATCACCAGACTCTGAAATCAACCTGCTGAGATAGTTTTCAGCACACGGCTTTCTGCAGTGCGGTTTCCTAAACTGTGCTCATGACAGTTACAAGCCAACAATCCTCGAATCTGTCCGTCTGGCAGCAAACGGACAGACACTCAACTCTATAATGACAGGACCAAAACAGGTGATTTCAGTTGCATGTCAAGGCTGTCCGGAGGCATCTGTTCCCCAGGCACCTAGGGAAACTCCGCCCACACATCTAACCAAGATAATTAAAGGAGGCGTTTAAGCCGCTATCTAGCTCCACGTCCTTAACAGCGACAAGAGCAACAGCCAAGTCCCTGATGCATCCCCTTCCCCTCCGGCCATCCCCGGCCAGCTGGGAAGGAGAGCCCACCAGGTGCAGGTCACTGGAATGCGGTGAATAGCTGTCACACGCGTGGGCTTAGGAATACGAGGGAGGAAATCCTAGAGACACACTGGACAACGGATGGCATCCGAATGCACTCGATCTTCTTAGTAACCCTAACCCCACGGAGGCCTCCTGCGGGAGCAACAGGGATCACGACGTGCTTCGAGAAAAGCGAGAATCCGGCGAGATGAGAAGCTGTGGGGAAGCCTTGCCCTGACCAGACAGGCTTCACACGTGTGTGTCGGGAGTGGAGCTTGTTCAGGGCTGGAGGCCGGGGATTTGGTTCAGCCTCTCCCCACACGAGGGTCACGAGAATAGGAGCCCACTGGTGGACACACAGCGAAGAGCCCGCGTCTAGCACGTGGAGAGTGGAAGCCCTTCGGGCTGCGGCCGAGTCTGCTGGATTCAGAAGCAAGTCCAGCGCCCTCCCGCGGAAGCCGAAGTCCTGCCGGTGTCGGTCCGACCTCTCACGGCGCGCACGCAGGATGCAGGCACCGACTCCGAGTGAGGGAGTTGAGGGGAGGGGAGGCGGGGAACTAGGGCCGTTGTCCAAGCGACGGGGTGAGAGTGGGGAAGGGCGACTAAGTTCTGTCTCCATGGAGACCGTACGGACTGAACGCCAACGTTACTCGAGTTGGCGCACCCCGACGGACGGTTCCGAAGGAGCCCACGAGTAAAGGTTGGCCACGGTGCCCTGGTCCCTGATTAACCCCATACCCCTGATTCTGCCTCCCCCAACCTCGCGACCCCGAAACGCGTCCCACCCCGCGAGAATCTTCGGGCTCGGGGAGGGGAAGGCTGAGCTGGAGAAGCGAGCTGGGGGCGGCGCCCTCACGCGTCCCGGTGCCCCAGGCCCGGACCCATGGCGCTCAGGAAGAAGCGCGGGCAGAGCGCGGGGCGCCGGCTGGGCGCGGCGGCAGAGGGCACCGAGCCGCAGCTGTCGGAGCGCGCGCAGTACCTGCAGCGCGAGTACAAGCTGCTCTCGGAGCAGCTGGCCGCCTGCGAGGAGCGCGTGGACCAGGTGGTGCAGGAGAACGCCTTCCTGGACTGCGAGGCGCTGCGCCTGCGCGAGGAGAACCGGCTGTACGCCAGCTATGTGAGCGCGCGCGCGCAGCGCTGCGCCTCCGCCATCGTCCGACTGGATGAGCAGAACCGCGCGGACCTGGCGCAGGTCCACTGGCAGCGGGCCGAGCTGGCATCGCTCTACCAGGGGCGCGAGGACGGGGTGCGTGCGCAGCTGCTGGAGATGGAGGCGCGCGCGGCACAGATCCCATAAAAGAAAGAGAATAAGATAATCTTAATTAGGTGATGTAAAAATATCAGCCTGAAATGATACCAATTATTTTTTCCTGAAGCATAACTAATATCCCAAAGCAAAAATACAGTTCATTCTCATTTAAAATTCCATTAGAATAATTGCGTATGAAATCTCAATAATTATAATATTTGGCATAAATTTCTATGATATTATTATACCATATCAGAAAATGTAAATAAAGCCAATGGGAAGAATATGTTGTAATGGAAATTTATAACCTAGGAAGTAAAAATTCATAGGTCAAAGGGTTTCTCAATAGTACACTCCCTGGTTCATTCTCCTTATTTTATTGTAAGAAATAGATGTCTCAGCATGGTTAAGCAATTTAATGCCATCTGCTGAGGCTGCTCCGCCGGGCCCAGCTGCTGCGTGACACGCGGCGGCAGCTGCTGGAGCAGCGTGAGCAGCTGCGGCGTGAGCACGAGAGCACGCGGGACCTGGCGCGCGTGCACGGTTGGCTGCGCCGCGGCCCCGGGGGCCCAGCGCTGTGGCAACCGCCGCCGCCCGCCTCGCGCTCCGAGTCTTTTGCCTCCCTCACAGACCTGTCTCTCCCGGCCTCCAGGACCCTGTCGCAGGTCTCTCCCAGCGCGGTCTCCAGGGGCCTGTCAGTGATCCCGTCGCACGTAGTCGCCCAGGTCCCGCCCTTGATCGCGTCCCGCTCTGGCTCCCGCGTCCCGTCCTTGACCGTGTCCGGTCCTGGCTCCCGGGTCTCTTCGCGGACTTCTTTGCGTGTGTCCTCACAGAGCATCACCCCCTCTGCTAAGTCTGTCCCCGGCCCCCAGGCGAAGGAGCCCGTGAACATCGATGGTGCAGCCTGAACCCACCTGGAGGAAGGCCAGTGGGGGTGGGGCGGGGAGACCGGTGCGCGGGATGCGTGTGTGGTGAGTGCACTCGTGAATAAAGTGTGACCCCCGCCCCACTCCGCTCTGGCACCTTCCGCTTTGCTGCTCCAGCATTTCCTCCTCTGTCCCCTGCCACCTGCCCACTGCTCTGTGGCTTCTGCTCCAGGTGACCACTGCTCACCAGGTGGTTGCTGTGGGTGCTTTCCTGTTGCCACCTGGAGCCTGTCCCCAAGATCTGCAGGCCTGTCTGAAGAGATGGACCAGAGTGAGCCCACTCACAGCCATGTCCCCTGCCAGAAAAGACCCACTGACCCAGGTGCTGGGAGACTGCGGAGGGTCCCCTCAGAGGGTACAGTGAGGGCAACACCTCCCGGTTCAGTGAGCTGGGCAGGCCGGGGAGTACATGCCACGTGGGCAGGGGCCAGAGGGCAGGGTGGGCGGCGTGAGGTGGGTCAGGGCCAGGACGGCGGTGGCAGCTGCCCAGCCTGCTGAGGAAGGCCACGTGCTCAGGGAGGGGGCCGGGTCCTCCTTGGCCCAAACCACAGGCCTCCTCTAGCTGCCTTGAGGGGCCAGGCGCACCCTCTCACGGGTTTTCTTGGAGGACAGTCCCAGGCAGAGCTGCTCGGGAGACTGGGGCGCTCTGCTGCCCTGAGACCCCAGGACTGAGGAGGCTTCTTCTCGCCATGTTGGGTCAGGACCACCAGCCAGGCCCCCAACCCCAAGACAGATGCGGGCGATGGGGTACCCGTATACCTACTCACGGGGGTGAGATGGGGCTCTCTGATGCCATGTGGAGGGGGACCCGGAAGCTTCTTCCACAGCAGGGCGCAGTCCAACCTGGCCAGGTGTACTGTCTGGTGGCTGCTGGAGCCCTTGGGCACCGAAGGCCTGGCCGTACGGGGCACGCTCAGGGCTGCTCACCGCTGTGGCCCCTCTGGGGCTGGCCGAGCTTCTCTTCCCCGGGAGGCCTCGCTGCCAGGCAGCAGCGCCCACAGGCCCGACTCCCACTGAAGGCTCCCACGGTCGCGGGGCGGCTGCACCTGCCCTCGGAGTGGACCTCGTGTGGCCACCGAGGTTTCCCGGCTGTCGCAGACGGCCGGAGACCCACCTGAAGGTCTGGCCGCATTTGAGGCACTTGAAGGGCTTGGTTCCCGTGTGGATCATCTGGGGAGCAGTGGGCCGGCTGTGACAGTTGTAAGTAAATAGTGGAAAACTAAAACGAACTCAGTGCTCACCCGAATTAGGTCACAGTTACGTAAACTCTGGCGATGGCCGCCGTGGAGTGCCGTGATGGCGCGAGTCGGCTGAAACACCCAACAGAGGTCCCTGCGCTCCAGGCCAGAGTCCTCTCCGCTGGTGCGACCCGCCTCGGACCCTCGCTGGCCATCGCTACCGCAGGCACACTGCTGACCATCCCCCCGAGTCTGCGAGGCAGAAGCCTGCGCGCCCCCAGCCCATCTGTCACCTCCATGGCCAGCTGGGTGGGCGCTCTTAGCTCCCCGGGGAGGTTTTTTGCTTTTTAAAATTTCTAATTGTGGTAAAATACACATAGCATAAAATTTACATCTTAACCATTTTTAGTGTATGGTGCAGTAGTGTTGAGTATGTTCCCTTTGTGCATTTAAACTCAGAAACTTTTCATCTTGCAAAACAAATTCTGAACCCACTAAACAACCACTTCCCACCGCTTTCTCCCCCGGTCCTTGGCAACCATCTGTATTTATGATTTGACTGTCCTAAATACCGCATGTAAGTAGAATCATACAGCATTTGCGTCTGGCTGACTTACTTCACTTACCTTAACGTCCTCAGTCCCGTCCCTGTCGTAGTGGATGACGGGATTGTTTTAAATAGGGTCGCGTAGTGCCGCAGTGTACGGACGGACTATCTTTTGCTCATCCACACATCCCTTGCACACCGGCTTGCTTCCCCCTTTCGGCCACTGTGAACAGCGCTGCCGTGGACACGGGTGTAACGAATATCCCCTCAGGACCCAGGACCCCGCTTTCAGTTCTTGTGGGCACACACCCAGAGGTGGCACTGCTGGGTCACGTGGCAATTCTTTCACTTTGAGGCGTTCTCGGACCGTCGTCCATAGGGGCTGTGCCACCTTGCCTTCCACGAGCGATGCACAAGGATCCAGTCCCTCCACCTCCTCTCCAACGCTCATTTTCTGTCTGGGTCATCTCGACGCCCGTGAGGCGGCATCACAGTGGTTTTGACTTGCGTTTCCCTAGAGATAAGTGATGTCGAGCATCTTTTCATGTACTTATTAGCCATCTTTACGTCTTCTTTGGAGAAATGTCTAGATTTTTGAATCTTTTGGGTGGTTTGAGTTTTAGGAATTCTTTATATGTTCTGGGTAGTAATCTTTTATCAGATGTGTGATTTGCAAATACTCTCTCCCATTCTGAGTAGCCCTTTTGCACTGTTGATAGGATCCTTTGATGCATGAAAGTTTTTAACTTGGAATAAGTCCCCTATGTCTATTTTTGCTTTTGTCGCCTGTGCTTTTGGTGTCATATCCAAGAAATTTCCAAATCCAATGTTTTTAAGTCCCCATGTTTTCTCCTGGGAGTTTTATAGTGTTAACTGTTGTGATCCTTTTGAGTTAATTTTTGAACATGGTGTTATTAAGGGCCCACTTTATTCGTTCGCAGGCGGGTGTCCAGTTTTCCCACCAGCCTTTGTTGAAAAGACTGTCCTTTCCCCACCGAATGGTCTTGACGTCCTTGTCAAAATCATCTACATATGCGAGGGTTTATTTCTGGGCTCTCTAGCCTATCCCATCGTCTGTATGTTTGTCTTTATGCTGGTGCCACCCATTTTATACCCGAGGAAGCTGGAGACACCCAGAGTCAACACATCAAGTCCATACATACTGTTTAATTCCATTCACATAACATTCTTGAAACAACAAAATTATAGAAAGAGAGAAAACAGGTTAATGGTTGCCAGCCAGGAAGGAGGGGCTGGGGACAGAACGGAAGTGGGTGTGACTGTGAAAGGCGCCGTGGGAGATCTTGCTAAGGAGCGTTGAGTCCTGACGCTATCATGTCAGTCTTGAGCGTGCTGGACTGGCCTTCAAGATGCTGCCTGCCACGGGGGAGACGCCGTGAAGGAAGCACCTGAACTCTGCTACACCGCTCAAGCGCACGGACATCTACGATTACCTCAAAAGCGCCACTGACCTTGAAGTTGTGCCCTGGAGGCTGCCTGGACGAATTACACAAGGTTGGGCTCCAGCGGGGCCGCCCAGCACCTGTTCTCGCTGCCCAGGTGACGCTGACCTGTAGCAGGACGACTGCCACGGCTCCCGGGGCCGCCAGCTCCCCTCCGCACAGGGCACAGCTGCTTGCCAAAGCCCGGGGCAGCTGGGAGAGCAGCCCAGGGTGTGAGGCCCGGCTCCGCGTGGGAGAGGGAGGGGTGCCCAGGCGGGACTGCGCAGTCGGCTACAGGGGCGCGGGGCCCGGCCCGGTTCGCGGTAAGGGCCCACTTCATCCTGCCCAGAAGGGGACATGCTCGTTTCCTCAGCGAGAGGACAGCAGCGTGGGGAGCGGCCAGGGTCATATCCGTCCAGTGTGGCAAGAGATCTCTTAGCCCGAGTCCAGACTGGATGTCCCTGTGCCACGCAGTCTGCGATGCCCCGCCCAGTGACCCTCTCGCCTCCCCCTGGGCTGTGCCCTGACCTGGCCTCCCCCGCTGCCCCAGCAACTCAGTCCCCAGCACCACCGCACAAAGGGCAGGACGGGCTGCCCCGCGACACCCAGCA